ATAAATACAATGCAATAGCCGAGTTGGAAGGGACCTTGGAGGTCCTCTAATCCAGCCCCCTGCTCAAGGAGGAGAACCCGACTCTTGTGGTGTCATTCCGCGCACCGCAACACTTGTGTTACTTTCTGCAGCCCGCTGCCATGAGCTACGGCAGGGGTGTGTAACCACGACAACTTTTAAGCCCCGAGGAATTCAACTCCCAGAATTAGTCATTAGGGAACAGAGAATAAGGGGATGGAGTTGAACCAACTCAAGATCACGTGAAAAATTAAGTGCTGTTGTTGTTGTTAGTTGCGAAGTTGTGTCCGACCCATCCCGACCCCCATGGACCACGTTCCTCCAGGCCTTCCTGTCCTCTCCCATCCTCTGGAGTCCATTGAAGCTCACAGAAGTTGCCTCCAGAAGTTGTGAATGCCCCAACACTGGAAGCCTTTAAGAAGATGTTGGATTTGTCTGGAATAGTATAGGTTTTCCTGCCTAGGCAGGGGGTTGGACTAGAAGACCTCCAAGGTCCCTTCCAACTCGGCTATTGCATTGTATTTATTGCTTCCAAAGCAGTTCAGAGACGGAATCCTGAAGCGCAGATCGAGGCAAGAGCGGGAGACCCCACTGGGGATATTAGGGGATGGAGGGGGGGGGGTTTCCTCTCCTGCTTTCAGAACATCCCATCCCATTTAAAAAATAAAATAAAATAACATTCCAAAGCCCGGCATGTGCTCCGTCCCATTAGAGCTTAATTGCAGCCGGAGTCTCACCTGGGGCATCACCCCCTTCGATTCACGCATCCATTAAAATCTTTTTGCCAGGTGGCTTATTATGTGTAATGGAATTAAGTGCGCTTTTAAGCGGCTCTTGCAGTTTTCCAGCGCGCCTGAAATTTGTCTCTCTGTAAAACAAGGCTGGAAACGCTTTCTGGGGGGTCCCGGGGGAAGTGGTCCACATCCAAGTTCTCCCCACCCACCCATCCCCCTTGCAGACAAGCTACCGTATTCCTGCCCCCGAGAATCCTCTACTTTTGACGCAATGCACGGGTTCGAATGACCAAGAGAGCATCCCTGATCTCAGGCACACCCATTTCTGGCGGGGGGTGAGGGTGGGGAAATGATCTCAGATCCTGGCCTAAAATACAGGGAGGTCCTCGAGTTATGACCATGGTGGAGACTGCCTGTGACAGTCAGAACAGTCCTAAAACAGATCACTTACGGGACCGGCCTGACTTTTACAACAATGACGGTCGTAAGTGTGAATGCAAAGAAACCATTGTTTGCTTAAGTCCCAAATTTTCAGTGAACCCGTCGTAAAACGCGAAAACGACTCTGGCGAGAAAATGGGACAAACCTGCCCCCACTGTCTCGCTTACCAACAGAAATTGGTGGCTCAATTGTGGTCATAAACCGAGGACTGCCTTCGTTTCGAAGACATAAACGCAGCCCAAATTCCCTCCTGCTAAAAATCCAGGCGCTTGGCAACGGACTCCAATTTATGACGCTTCCAAGGTCCCGGCATCACGTGATTCCTTTTTTGCGACCTTCTGGCAAGCAAAGTCAAGGGGGTGGGGGTGCCGGATTCGCTTAACGACTGCGTGACTCACTTAACGACTGCAGTGATTCCCTTAACAATGGCGACGGGAAAAGTTGTAAAATGGACAAAGCGGTGGTCGTAAGTCCGGGGCTGGCTGCATTACGAAGAAATAAAAGGCCGCCCAAATTCCCTTCTGCTAAAAAGACACGCAGAAAATCTGCGAAACGAATTCACCTTGCCAATGTAGGTTAATTCTGTATTTTAAAAACATAAAACGTAAGAAACGAACCATTTTTTGGAGGGTGGGGGATCTCTCTGTAAGGCTCCCCGTGGCACGACAAAACCGCGCTGGTCAAAAGCGTGGCGATAAAATCGCAGTGCTAAAGCCGCGACGTCATCACCGCGCGTCATCACCGCCGCGANAATAGAATGGAATGGAAATAGGAATAGAATAGAGAATAGAATGGGATGGAATGGAATAGGAATAGACTAGAATAGAAAGAAAAGAAAAGAAAAGAATAGAAAGAATAGAATGGAATAGAAATGGAATGGAATGGAGTAGAAATAGAATGGAAAGGAATAGGAATAGAAAGGAATGGAATGGAACAGAACAGAATTAGTGTAGTGTAGTATAGAAGAATAGAATAGAATTAGTAGAATAGAATAAGAATAGAGTAGAATAACAGAATCGGAAGGGACCTTGGCGGTCTTCTAGTCCAACCCCCTGCCTAGGCAGGAAACCCTTCACCACTTCAGACAAACGGTTATCCAACATCTTAAAAACTTCCAATGTTGGAGCATTCACAACTTCTGGAGGGAAGATATTCCACTGATTAATTGTTCTGACTGTCAGGAGATTTCTCATTAGTTCTAGGTTGCTTCTCTCCTTGATTAATTAACCTCTCTTTTTGAAGCATGTCCTTGCATTTGGGGAATGAAGTCTTTGACGTGTATAAAGCCCCCCTGCAGGGAGACCACAACCATCTTTTCATCAGACAAGGAACTGGGCTTCAGGGACAGGCCGTCTTCAAGACCAAACTGACCTTCCGGTAAGGGTGTGAATATCTTGACGGCGTGTTGTCCTTTTGCTTTCAAAAGGCTCCTTCCCTAAGCAGAGTCTTATTTTAACTTGGTTCATTTGTCGCAGGCCACACTCCACAGACAGCGCCACGCACAGAAAGATGACCCTCTCGTTGGCTGACCGATGTTCGAAGACGCAGAAAATCCGCATTCTGCCCATGGCTGGCCGCGATCCCGAGTCCCAGCGCACAGAAATGATTAAGGTACCCATCGATCAAACCTCATCCTTAAACTCTGCCTTTCCCTCTCCTCTCTTCTGTAACCGGACGGGTAAATTTTGGCTGCCTTGTTTCTTGTCCTTGCTGCTCAAAATCTGCTGGGTTTTTTTTTAATTAAAATTTTTAGAAAAAAAAACTTTTACAAATGTTCCATCAAAGGAATGAAAAATAAGTTTTATTTGCACAGTGGCAGTGCTCCTCGTGAGCCAGGGTGAGGCTGAGCCGCTGGCCCCAATTCAGAGATTGCTAGGGTTCATGATTTTAATCTGGGCTTTTCCGGATTCCGTCCCCAACACAAAAACCAAGCCAACCCCTCCGGATTCTTTTCTTCTCTCCCGCAGAAAGAGGAGGAGAGGCTGCGAGCGTCCATCCGTAGGGAATCCCAACAGAGAAGGATGCGCGAGAAACAACACCAGCGGGGCCTGAGTGCCAGTTACTTGGAGCCCGACCGCTACGATGAAGAAGAAGACGGAGAAGAGGCCATCAGCCTGGCTGCCATCAAGAACAGATACAAAGGCGGAATACGAGGTATCCTTCTCCTGCCCCCCTCCTGACCGGTTCCAGCCAGTTCTCACCGAGGCTTTCCCAAATCACGAAGTAGACTCCTTGTCCTGATTTTTAAAAAAAAAACCCTTTTATTAATTTCCTGTGAATTCTGCTCATTCCCATCCAGCAAAGTCTTTCAAGGGAGGATTTACAGTCACAGACCTTATCTGGTTTGGAGAACTGATAGGCTGATATCTGCAAAACTTGGCAAGGAGTCTGGAGAGTCGCAAGCCAATTAAGCGAACTAATTGCCTCCTGCAAACTCCGCTCCCCTTTCCTCTTTTATTTCCTCTGGGAGGGGCCATTCATCGTCCACCGGTGGCCTTACTCCCAAGTCAACCCCTGTTCTTTAGCTGTTCCCTTCACCTGGCTGCTCTGCACATGCGCACACTGGGAACAGGCTCCAGCTGTTCTTCTGCCCCACTGATGTCCAACTCCGAAGGCAGCTGATAACTGGCATACAGCCCTTGCCCCCCTCTCTGCCTCTGACACAGAGCCCTCATCAGAGCCTTCCCCAGACTCCACGACTGGCCCAGGTTCCTCCCCAACCTCCTCACTGTCTGAATCTGCTGGGCCATAACAATAACCTGGTTTGTTTGATTTGGGCTTGGATGGTTGTGTGGACCAAACCGGCTGGTTCATACTAGGTTGAAACACACTCAGCAAAGTGCTTTGGACTATTTAAAATGGCAAGTGCAAGAAGCATCTCATTAAAGCAGCTGTATCTTTTTGCAGTCTGCCTCACTGATGTCTGAAAGCAGCTGATAACCGGCATACGGCCCTGGCACCCTCTCTGCCCTCGTCAGAGCCTTCCCCAGACTCCAGGACTGGCCCATGTTCCTCCCCAGACTCCTCACTGTCCGAATCTGCCGCCAGTGTGGCTGGCCACTGGTGGGCCACAATACAGTCCACCACTCTCAGTACCCAAGCCAGTATGGCCCGTCCAGTTACCCCAAGAGAAAGGTGCCAATTTGGAGAAGCTTTGAACTTATCTAACGACCTACAGGTCACCTGGTCATCTGTCTTCTTCCTTAATGGCCTGTTTGCCTTTTGCAAACATTGCAGCTGTGTTTGAAACCTTTTAATTTGCACCTTCTGTTGTGTTCTCTTAACAGTGTGTGTTTGCTTTCCCTTGTTCTCTCTCCTTTCTTGCACAGCGCTTGTGCAAATAAGCTTATCGGTGTTGTTCATCCCATTTGCTTTTTGGACATTTTCCACCAGGGGTTGGCACAGCGTGGGGGCCCAACCTCGTATTTAACGTCCAGTTTCTAAGCTGCGCTCGGGAGATCTTAAGGTTTGTTTTCCAGCCTGGCCTTCGACGTATAATGCGTGTTTTCTCTTCCAGAGGAGCGCGCTCGGATTTATTCTTCGGACAGTGATGACGGTTCGGATGAGGAGAAAACGCAGAGGTTGCTCAAAGCGAAGAAACTCAACAGTGATGAGGTGAGAGAATCCAGGCGGAGTTGCTGGACCACCAGTTGATTGTTGGTCCGTAACTGGATATATGTCCACTTCTGGGTTGATGTACGGTGAAACTTTCATTTGAAGGACAATCTGACCAAATTTGAATCCAATCAACCCTGAAATAACAAGCATCTTGTTGTCGTTTTTCAAAGTCTTTCTGGACAGACAAGCTAATTTACATCATTTGGATCAGGGGTGGGAAACAGAGCCCCTTTTATGACTTGTGAACTTCATCTCCCAGAATCCCTGAGACAGCTTGTTGTGGCCCGCCAGTGGGAGCAGATTCAGAAGGGTAGAGGAGGTTGGGGAGGAATCTGGGCCAGTCCTGCAGTCTGGGGAAGGCTCTGATGAGGGCTCTGTGTCGGAGGGAGAGAGGGGGCCAGAGCCGTATGCCAGTTATCAGCTGCCTTCAGAGTCAAACATTAGTGAGGCAGATGAACAGCTGGAGCCTGTTCCCAGTGTGAGCATGCACAGAGTTGCCAGATGAAGGGACCAGCTAAAGAACAGGGGTCGACTTGGGAGTAAGGCCACAGGTGGACGATGCATGGCCCCTCCCAGAGGAAATAAAAGAGGAGTGAAAGGGGAGTGGAGTTTGCAGGAGACAATTACTTCGCTTGATTGGTTCGTGACTCTCCGAGACTCCTTGCCAAGTTCTGCAGAGATCGGCCTGGCAGCTCTCCAAGCCAGATAAGGTCTGTGACTGTAAATCCTCCCTCGAAAGACTTTGCTGGATGTGAATGAGCAGAATTCACAGCAAATTAATCAAGGGTTTTTTGTCAGAACCAGGTGTTTGCTTCATGCTCTTGGGAAGCCTCGGTCAGAACAATACCAGATACCTCTTCGAATAAAACCACATTTGCTGTGGTTTTTCCAAGGACACCACTGTCCGCCAGACTTCAACGAACTTTGCAAAATGTTTCCCCCCGTGGAATGTGGAGCATCCCTCTTGCAAAGTAGCCAGAAGGGACCGGAGATTAAGAACAGCCCATTCTGGGCTCGGAATGCCCCATTTGGAGGGGGGGTGTCAAAATGTTCCATGACAGCACAATTTCCGATAGCCTTGGCATTCAGTTTGAGGTCCTATACCAAAAAGAGCCAGGGGAGAAGGAAGCAACTGGAGATATGTACTCTCCTCCCTTCTAAAAAAAATAATAATAATGCCCAGGGATTTCAAATTCCCAGGGC